AAACTATTGTTACCCTTGAGCCCCCTGGTGTACTACAGTATGTCCCCTGACTCATCATCAAACAGACAGCGGCAGTATAATCATATGTGCCTCCAGCCAATAATGATCGTGCACATGCACAGCTCCTTGAGTCACTTTCATAGCTAACTGAGTTTTGTCTTTGACTCTCTTAGTCCCTACAGAGAGAGAAATACATTTTCCCTTTTTATTAAAGTTAGTCCTCAGCTTACATTTCTTTCAAGCATAACTTAAATGAACACTGCTAATCCATCAAAGGCATGGAGAAGGACAGAATTGCTTGAAGTTGTTAAACTTGCAACCTGTGGGAAAGAGAAACCATCTTGACAAAGTAGTTAAAGAGACTAATCTGTTCCTTAAAGGCCATCATTTTAAACGGGTTTCTGAAAGCAGTTGCAAATTTTCTGAGAAGTAAGAAAAGGGAATTGTGACCTATAGCAGTGCAATAAAAAAAACAATCCTGACTAACTGCCCCAAACTTGTTTTTGTTCATGAGATAGGAACGGTAGATGACAATATTCTTAAACACTGCCTGTCACAGAAAGCCTCAAAATGTCTTTGCTAAAGCATAACGTATATTTTGGGTGGTAAAATATCAACTTCTGCAAACAACAGAAAAAAAGACAATTAAGCAGCTTACTTTAAGTGTGACCATTCAATTCAAGTGTGTCAGCTATAGCCCATTAAAGCCCTTTGCTGCAGGACAGGTTCAAGAGCTAAATGTTAGCACAAAGGAACAGGAGTTTTTTTTTAACTGTAACCAAGTGTCACTCACAGTATAGGCAAAAAAACTTGGTGGCCACTGCAGGCAACTTTTGTGTATTTGGTGGCCACAGGGTAAACTTCTGTGGTCGTGGGCCATTAGGCCATGGTCAATTGAATGAATTTGGTGCAGAAAATTTCTATTTTAAAACTGAGCCATTAGTCATGTTGGACGATCTTACTTACTCTACCAACGTTTTCAACATTTTGGTAAACTCAGGTCTTTTAAACTTTTTCTACTGTCATCAAATGGCTTAAACTACTTGAGTCCTTCACTTGGGCTGTCTTAAATAGTATTAAATAAGTCCAGCATGTGTCTCCTCATGCACCAGCTGTTGGACAGATGAAGGGCAGATGAGACTGGCTTTTCAAACAAAGTTAATGAATGACGAATGACACATTAAGGAGGAAATCAAATGCAACAGTGGGATTCAATAGACAAATCAACACACAAAAACAGTATAGCATTGTTAAATTAGTAGCATGTGCACCACAGCTGTCAGGAATAACTTGACTGCCAAAGCTATTGGCAACTGGTCACTCACACACACACACACACACACACACACACACACACACACACACACACACACACACACACACTTTAGTCAAGATATAGGGATGGGCAGCCTTGGATAAATCAATTATGAGGTTTAGTGTCAAGTTGAAGGCCACAAGGAGGGCACCATGACTACATCCCAGCAGCAGCTACTACTAAATCAGCCGTCTGGACGAGCAGATAGTGCAGACACCAGTGGAGCAGGCAAAGAGCCTGAGAGGACAGGGTGAGGACGCCTGAGCTGATGTCCTTATTTGCTTGGGGGGAGAAATACTGTCTCATTAGCCTTAATGGCCAAACCTGACGTTAATATGGCCCTTTGTGCTTATCAGGAGAACCAGCAGTGCGGCCATTCTCAATCATCTGCTTACTCTGTTGATTTTGTCTTAGTTTCTTCTTCTCTCCCCCTCATAGTGTTTATATTTACATCCCCTCAATAGCCATTTCTGTCCGTCCAGGTTGAGTATGACAGCAAACTGCACTCAGCTAAATGCTCACCAATGCCTAAATGTGCGCTATGGTTCTGACTGATCTTTCAGGAAAAAGTTGGTAATTTTAGGGAATTCATTTGCTGTCATTTTGGCGTTGTTTCCAATTAAAACAGGATTAAATGCTACATCCCGCGCTGATATGGGACAGTAGTGTTGTAAACTCTTTGTGTCACCAGTTTACATAATGTTATTAATGAAAATTGACAAAACCAGGTTCAAAAAGTAATGGATTTTTCATTTAAATGACAGGCTTTCATAGGACACTACCCTCGACTGAGATTTAACCGGACAAAAGGGGAGTTCATAAGGCAGTTGTGCACAGGAGGTCAGTCAAAGAACAGCATACACATGCAGTCTGTTTGCAGACAAAAATACAAAAGCTGACAAACAAGCCAAAATCAAAACCATAGAAAACAATAACAAAACAAAGAAAAGAAAAGATGAACCCACATGGACAAACCAGAAAAGGAAGAGAAAAATCTTTGTAGTATAAATCTGCGAGACAAAATAACATAATCATGGGCGTGTGTAATGAGTATCTGTGGTAATAATCTAGGGAGGACACACAGAGGCAGGAACTAAAATGAGATATGAATTTCAACAAAACAACAAAACAAAAGATACAACAAAAAATGTGTGATGTGTGAAGATTAACTGGATAATACATTTGACCTTATTAAATACATTCAGGGGAGTTAAGAATAATAGAGCTTATTGCCCAATATCTATTTCCAATCTCAGTTGCTGAGTCACTCACTGCTGAGTCAAATTATTTTCTTTTGACTCCCTTCAGCCAGGTTCAAAATTGTGTGGAAAGCCTGACACCAGACAGCAGCTATCTTATGGTTTTTAAAAGAGGGGCTAGGGGCGCTAGTGGCGCAGTGGTTGGGGCGCGCGCCCCATGTTTGGAGGCTGTGGTCCTCCAGGCGGGCAGCCCAGGATCAAATCCGACCTGTGGCTTCTTTCCCGCATGTCATTCCCCGCTGCTGTCTCCCTACCCGGTTTCTGACTCTGTCCACTGTCCTATCTCTCTAATAAAGGCACAAAACGCCTAAAATAGATTTTTTTTTTAAAGAGATGTTAAACAAATTAGTGTAGTGTTTGGGTTTTTTATTTACTTTTAGCTAAGTAGTATTGCTTGTTCATACAATTGCCCATTCTTTTGATTGACTGGTTCAAAAATGGGTTCTACGATCTGAAATAACTCTGAACTCATTTTTCTTTTATTCATACTGAATGATGTTTTTTGTAGTTGCTGATGCCAAGGTTTCCCCAAATGTTCTTTAGTCTTGAGGTGTGCCACAGGGGTCAGTTCTTGGGTCAATTTTATTTTCATTATTCATTTTTCCCTGAGGAGTGTTCTATCAGTTTGGTTGTGTTTCCTCATTTTTATGCTGATGTTACATGTTTCTATGTACACGCTCAGGCTGGTGATGTCATTAATTTCATTAGTTTGTGAAAGTAATCGTCTGGGGTTAGCTACTAAGTGTTTCAATATGTCTCCAATTAAATCACTTTTTTGGTAATGGTTATTCATGCTTTGGTTTTCTCTCACTGATTATTGTAATGCTTTTTATATCTGCAAAAGCCAAGAAGTTGTTACCTGGTTACAGTTACTCCAGAAAAGATCACTTATAACCTCTTTTTTGTTCTCACATCGCTGCAATGAATAGCATGCAAAGTTTTCATCAAGATGGTTCACAATAGTAGTAGTTTCTATTATACATTGCAAATGTCCCTTTTCCAGTGCAGGTCAGACACACCATTGTTGAAGAAACTGAAGAGGCTGGCATTTAAATTCAATGTAGATAGCAGATACATCTTTTGCTTTATCAGGACAGAACACAACACACCATGGTCTGATAGTCTTTGTCTAGATGTGTGCACTCAACCGATGAGTAAACAAAGACATGCAGAGAAAGAGTGAAGTGCAGACCTGCTGTTGTGCATACTGGGACTGCAGTAGTTATTAGTAAGAGTGTTGAATAAGCTTACTGATACTCTGCATCATTTGTTTGTGAAATTACATGCAAAACCACTGGCTTTTATAAAGTGGACTGCATATACACGGGATGGTAAGACATGGATACTGTAAAGAAGCATTATGTTGTCTTAGCTCCTCAATAAACTATTTCCAGTAGGCTTTTACTGATTCTTTATATTCATGCTCCTTAATCTCTGTTTTGTTCCTAGAAACACAGATTGATTAATTAATATTTCCCCTCTTTCTTTCTTAATGCCGCTGTCATTTTGGAGCTGTCCAAGGTGCTGAACATTTTGCTGACACTTGTTTCTTGTCTCTTTCTATTTTTATCAGCTCATGTTACAGTTGACGCGTACTAAAAAAGAAAAAGCACATCCTCCCTGTTTCTTTCTTTGCTTTCATTTTTTTCAATTTGAAGGTTGTCCATGATTCCAGCTGCACACAGAAATAGCCTACTTCTTCCTTGTGGAGTATGCTAACACTCTCTGTGGGGCTGTCCATAGTGCTGAACCTCAAAAGTTTCAACATATATTTTCTTTCTTTCTGAGATCCTTTCCTTTTGACATCTAACATTTATAGAACACATATGCTGTGTTGTCAGTGTTTCTAGTTTTTCCACTTAATTCTGCAGAACATATGCTTGTATTGTTGGTGGAGAAAAAGGGGGAAGTCAGTTCCCATGTCAGTCAGACATGCTCACACAAATCTCTGAGCTGTACGCGGTATATGTATTCAAGCTTATTGATTTGTTTGCCAACTTTATACTGTACAAGTAGAGAGCGGGACCAACTCTCCGAATGGGACTTTTTCTTTTTATTGAAAATGGATCAATCGTAGGGACTGACCAGCGCCTCATTACACAGGCTCCAGTGCCTGTACATAATTACTGTAACTGGTTTGCAGCAAACACAAGTCGCCGTAAATTAGGGCTGTTATAATGGAACCAATTGCTTGGAAATGGACCGACCGACTCTGGTGAAGTTAAATTCGCCTACACATGCAGTCATGATGAATGGGCTGATTACGTAGTCAGGTAATATCAGAGTGAAGTAGCCGTAAATTAGGAGGACTTAAGAGCACTTCTTTTGCCGCCTGAGCTCTCTCTCTCTCTCTCTCTCTCTCTCTCTCTCTCTCTCTCTCTCTCAGTGACAAGCGTCAAAAAATACCACCCAGGGAGCGAGGAGCAGCAGCTTTCCACGCAGCCACACTCAGCTCTTGTCCACAATCCTGTGCGTAAATTGCAAAACTCCTTTTTTTTCCCCAGACGAAGTCACAAGGAACCGAAATGACAATGAAAAGAGTTGTTTTTTTCCTGTCCTGATGGTTCAAAGTAATCGATGCCAGCGGGCTGATTTGACTCCACATGTCTGAGAGGATAGTAGCCTACTCGGTCAAGACGCACCGGTATCAGCCTTCTTTGGGACCAAAATGAGAGAGAAGATGTGGATATTTTACAGCGCCGACAATCCGAAGTGTGTGTTTTCTCTTTGGAATCAGTGGTGTTGGTTTACGCAGCGCTGGTGTGTTTATTGTTCTCGCCTGTCAGGACGGATGAAGGGTGTCCGTCTTCCTGCGTCTGTGCCAGAGACTCGGGGACGGTGACCTGCCGTGACGGAGAGGACACCGAAGTACCGGGAGACATACCGGAGTGGACGTCCACCTTAATACTGAGGGGGAGAAACATCTCAACTTTACAGCGTGGCACGTTCATGATCAACGGCTCGGAGTTGGAAATAACGACACTCTCGCTGTCTTACAACGGGATCCAGGCCATTGAACCCTACGCCTTCTTGGGACTCCCCCGGATGCACTTATTGGATCTGAGCCACAATCAGCTGGCGTCTATCTCAGCTCGGGCTTTCCACGGGTTAGTCGAGCTACGATCTCTTTACCTCAATTACTCGATTTTACCTGTGGCCACGGCGCAGCTCTCAATTGCGCTCAGCACACACAGTCTGCGCCACCTCCACAGGCTGGAGTTGGCGGGAAATGGTCTAAAGTCTATACCCTTAATGAGGTTAGATATCTACAACCTCCACGGGCTGGTGCTGATAAATAACTCCTTAGAGAACATCGGGAGTGAAAATGTCACAAATTTGTATCAGCAAAGGCGTTTACGCGTCTACCTGTCTTTAAACCCGTTTCGGTGCACCTGTGAGCTGGAGGCGTTTTACTACTGGCTGAAGAATTCCTCTCAGTGCCCGGATGCTGGGCGGCTCCTGTGCAGCGAGCCCGAGGCCAAGCGGGGGATTCCAGTGGAACAGCTTCGGGAAGAGGACGTGGATTGTATGAACGAGAACCTAGAGGCGGTTTCGTACGTGTTCCTGGGGATAGTGTTGGCACTGATCGGGGTGGTGTTTCTCATGGTGCTCTATCTCAACCGGGGAGGCATCAAACGGTGGCTCAACAACATCAGAGAGGCGTGCCGAGACCAGATGGAGGTCTACCATTACCGCTACGAGCAGGACTCAGACCCCAGACTGGCTAATGTGGCAGTTTGACCCACTGAAACATGAGGCCAGGACTGCATGGTGAGAGGACATAGAGAACGACTTTGAGCTGAGAAGTACTCTATGAAAGCAGATTTATAAGATTCCTCTCGGACCACCATCAATAGTTTGTTTTTTTTAAGTTTCACTCTCAGCAGCAGACTGGCCAATGAACTGCAAGAAGCCCTCTCACTGAATGAAGTACACACAGCCAAAGTCAGTGAAATGGCAATACGGTCAGTGTTGCACTTGCACCACTGACGCTTCCAAGCAGTGTTGTAAATACTGTACATACATAGCTTTTCATGCATCATGTTACCTTACTGTTTGTTTGTCAGACTACCTGTGGTATTATTTCACTTCAGTGACAAATGTAGGCCATAAAGGCTTTTAGAATTCTGATTTGTAAACAACAAACGAAGGTGAATCAATACTGAGAACTGCAGCCTCTGTAAACAGCTGCAAATGAGTAGTCTGCATTCATGAAACCCTGCAGGGAGAGTCAGGTAGAGAGTCTGTTTCTAATGCACCAAGACAGAGTATTATGCAAAGTGAGAGATGAGAGAAAAGTGGTGAAGAAGGGGGCTGGAGTTGAGGGTATCCTGTTGGAGGGTTAGTTCAAGCAGGCATCATTTTTCATCATCCATGGCACAAGTTACAAACCTTGTTTTTATGAACAGCGCTTTGATCCTGGAAATAGCACAAGCGTGTATCAAATGACTCCAAGTCAGTTTATCAGAAGCGGAGGAAGAGGAAGAGACAGACTCTAACCATGCATGTGATTGTTGTAGGCATAAAAAAACAACTTAAACGTTAATAAAAGGTCAAAGAGAAACAGAGAGTTAGTCGTGTTCTTTATGCCAGTTCATTTTAGCATCACTGTTGAGAAATGTTCATGCAGAACTTTGCAGAACATTTTTAAAAAGTAGAAATGTTCTCGTTTGGAATAAGCTGCTCTTTTTTTTCCAATTTGCTCGATGATGGTGCAAGAAGGACATTTTTAAGTGATCTCAATGTCAGTAAAAAAGTCACATTGTCACCGCCTCTGGGCTCAACACCAAAGGTCTGAACTATCATCAGTTTCTTTTTTAAAAGCACAGAAGCCTGGCAGAGGTTTGAACAGAGGGACAGAACAGGAAAACATGGCAGTGTTAGTATCATCAGCACTGTGACTAATAAAGCGTGCAGAATGACAACCGACCTGCAATGTCAGTATCTCTCCATGGCCCGGAGCTCATCAAATTTTTTACTGAAGCTCTACATTATGATCAGGGGGATTTGGGAAACCAAGGTCAAGCTTGAAACGCTGGCAAAAACACAAGAGGGTAAGAATGTGTGTGAGAATATTCATTTCAGCTATGTGTGTTCGTCTAAACAGATCACAACTGACACACGACAGGCAAAAAGTAAATCAACAATTCATATTTAAATACCACCAAATTCAAACAAAAGTTATTATCTCATGACGCTTCACATAGAGAGCAGGTCTGGGCTGTGCTCTTTGTACAATTTAGAAACAGACAGACAAGAGGAAATACAGACAGCAGCAAAGTATAAAAGCTAATAGTAATGGTAGAAATATGGCTAAAAGTAGATGAAGTGTGAAAACTGCCATCATTTAAAAGGGCTATTTGTTTCTGAACAAGCAAAAGCAATAGTAATTCTGTCTTTTCTTTATGAAACATGACTCTCGAGGAAATTGGAAGTGGAAGTGAACACGAAAACAATCAAATGGAAAACAAAACCATCCAAGCGGAAGAAAGATTTCCATAAAAAAAAAAGTATTTTCATCTGCACTCATTTTACATTTATTCCAAATAAATGTAATACATACCAGATGTGAATCAACAATAAATTCATAATCTACAGTAGACTTTAATGTACAGCTGTGTGAGGATAATTTGCATGTCTTTTGGCCATTAAAGATTCAAATATATTTTTTTTTGATTAACTAAAAATGTATATTTCAGTTGAACCCTCAATGGATAGACTGATCTCGGATTGCAAATGTTTCATCTTATTTTCCATGTTAAGCACTCTTGGTGAATGTATTTTACTGTGTCAGCAGTGTTCAAGTCGACATTACATAACAGCGACATCTGAATGTGAGACATTGTCACTTGTTATGTCAGATGACATGGCAATGTACCGCACTCTGGCGTGTAGTATAGTGAGGATGATGAGGTAGACAAAGCAGAGATCAGGGGGTGAAAGTGTGTGGACTTAAATCATTTTGACATCACACTTGTTAATGTTTCTTCAGAAATGATGGTGGAGCTTGAACAACAGAGCTCCTCATGGTCCCCGAGAAATGCTTGAGAGCTTTCCGAGGAACAGAAAAGACATCCACAATAGAAAACTTTACACAACCATTTATAAAGGAGAGTTGAGGTATAAGTCAGAAGACACAAGGTACAAAAATAGAGGGCTGAAAAAAACCTGTACAATAAAAAACATGATGTGTAGGTTTGTATGTGTTTGTGTATGCATTGGTGTGCATGTCATCAGCAACAAGAGTTTAGCCATGAAATCCTGAGATCTACAAGAGTCTGCACACATCCTAATACTAATGTTAACCCCCTGTATTAAGCGGCCCTCAATGACAATACCAAGATGATGTTGAGTAGGTTTGATATTTTACATACACTGAGCAGCTCCCGGCTAAAATGACTGAGTTTGGAAGGATTTTGGTTAACGTAAACATCACATTTAACCTTTTAAATGCAGCAGAGAGAACTCCCATGATTCCCCGCTAGCCTCCACGTCATCTTTTGTTATTATGTTATGGAGAGCCCCCTGGAGGCGGAGTTTACATACAGTACGTTTAAACCAAAACAAACTGCTGTTTGGCGACACCTCCGCTATTCTGAAGCCTCCGATCTACTCCAGCGGCACATTTTCAATTTAGTGGAAACTGCTGGTAAAAAGGAAATTGAACAATTTCTCATGTATCACTATTTATTTTATTACCCTGTGTTGGACTTCTCTCCCTGTGTTGGAATTTGGGATATACATAAAAAGGTAAGACAACAAAATATTCAGTTATGTTCTGTAGTCAAAGAAAAAAGTCAAAACTTATTTTTCCAAAGTATTCAGGCTTCAACCCTGCTCTCTGTGACCACTTCACTTTACTTTTCATTTCTTTGTTTCTCTTACATTTTTCTACATTCCTCTTATAAATACAGTATTCTTCGAAGACTTTCTCTTTGCCCTACTCGCCCTAACATCTCTCCCTCCCTCTCTCTCCGCTCTCATCTCTCGCTCCTCTTCTTCCAGGTAAATGACTTTATCCAGTTGAGTGACTTTGTAAGGACGCAGGGACAGGGTTTAAGCTGAGCCAAGCGAAAAGGAAGAAACTCAAAAAGAAAGATAAAGGGAGGCGAGTAGAGAAAAGATTCATTATGCTTCTTTAGTCCAGGCACCAAATGCCCTCGCCTTGAGCAGAGGGATGACTCATCCTCTTGCTCTATATACAACGGTCTGGGAGGTTGAAGCCCAACTGCAAACTAGGGGCAATGTCTTTAAGTGAAGGTCAAAATATTAACATTACTGTTGAATAGCTGAGCTGATTATATCTTGGCATTTGAACTTCAGGGTTCATTTTTAAATAACCGCCATGTTCCTCCACTCACACTGTGTGAGTGTCTGAAGAAAAAAAAAACCTTGTCACAAATAACTAAATGCAAGGAAAGTTTATTCACATGTCCAGGTGAAATAGACATCATGTGAAGCAGTTCCTGATGTGACTTATGTCTAGATAGATAGATAGATAGATAGATAGATAGATAGATAGACAGACAGATAGATAGATAGATAGATGCAAAAATATGTGATTGCTGCATATGTACTTTTGTGATTGAGGAGGAGAGGTAGAGGTTTTGGTGTGCAGGAGGAGATTGAGGGTAAATTATGCTTAAAACACCAAGTTACACCCAGGTGAAACTTTCTGTAATATTTTAAAGTTTAGGTCTAACCCAAGTAATGTCTAATGGTAAAGGATGGTATTAGGCTAAGGGCAGGGCATGTAGAGCATTTTGAAAACCATTGGAGGGGAACTGTGGGCTAATGAACACGTCTGCCAGGAGCAAAGCCGACTACAAGTGGATGTGATGTCATATTTCACTTTTCTAACTGATTTTCCGCTATCGCTGTCTGACACAAAACCAGCCAGCAGAACGCTCTCCTTCATCATAAAGTACACTCCTACTTGGAAGCATACGTCTTTCACACTATGTCACAGCAATCAGAAATGTATGGCTGCTCTGTCTCAGCTTTAACAGAAGTTTTCACACATATAAGGAGACAGAAGCTCTTTTCATAAGCTTTGATTTTGACTTCTCCTGGGTAATAGTACAAAAGCACACGCAGCGTGAGGGATTATGGTTTAAGAAACACAGAGGATGAAAAATGTTGCTTCCCTTGAACAGCTAATTCCCTCTTCTTCTCTTTTTTTTCCAGCTGGGTTACCACAACATATCAATCCTTAAATATTGCTGTGTCTGTTTTCTAACACATGCTGGAAATGAAACTCAGAAAAACTTGATTGAAGTTGATTAATGGTGGATAAATAACGTCTGAATGATTTTATGTTTTAGTTCTTTATCAAAATGTATCTACATACCTCAAATTGGCATTATGTAATGACTTATTCTTTGTCAAGACTTTGGTTATCTAAAAGTGTATTTTACTTGTCCATGCAAGAAAGTATTTTTTGCCTACCAGTACTAATGTGAAAAACAAGAATTGCGGGCAAGCAACATTAGTTCTACTTATGGTTGTCAGGATACCAGAATTTTAAACTTTAAAAGCATAATAAACATGGATATGGAGACATGTTTCCATGGCAACCAAAAAATAAGGCTCCCAAGATTGGGCAATTTGTTGTTTTAATTGACAAAAACACACTCCTGTACAGTGTCTAATTGCAAAAACAACATTCAGTACTGAAATGTTGTGAATGTATTCATGAAATTCAGACAGTGTTCTTTCTCTTTCTCTCACAGAAGCTTTGGGTTTAAAATATGACTGTCGATCTGTACATTTTGGTGCATGCAGGGAATCATTTTAAGCAAGTACACGGCTTGGAGCAAGGGCAACAAAATATCCTGACTTGAAATCAGTAACCTGTGCTCTCAAGGCCATGTCATAGAATAAATAATGGAATAAAAATAGGAAAAACTACCCATACTTGTCGGCTTTTTGTTGACAACCAACTGATTGTTGTATAGGAAACTGAATTAACACAGTTTTTTAAAGACTTCACAGTACAAAATGAATAAAAGATGTCATTTAATGTCACACCCATCAGATTTATTTCACAAAAGTCTCCATTCAACTTTGACCAGATTCTGCAGGAGGATTCCTCCTCAGAGGAGGAGCTGAGGTGAGGTCATAGAGTGGACCCGTTACACCTCTGTGACCACACACACAGTTATGAAAATGAGTCAGAGCTGTGTTCACCTTTTAATAAATACCGATAAGCTACAAACAAATTCAGTACCATCTCTTCACAGCAGCCTTAATGACTCATTCTAAGTGTGGACCCCCATATGTTCTCCTTCTAGCTTTAATTGCTAGGGGCTCCTAATAAGTTCTTAAGAGATTAATTAAGCTTAAATTTAAACAATAAAAGGTTTGTTTGTTACAGGCAAGGTCATTTGCCAGCATTCAGTGCTAATGTCATGGAGCTCATTAGAAAAACTCCCAGGAGTCAAAAAAGGCAGGAGTGAATCCTTTTGTCTCGGGGTCAACGTGTCCTGATGGAAGAAAAAAAAAAAACACGTTCAAAGAAAACTGAGCTCTTAGTTTTCCATTTATAATTGTTTTCTTAGGTGTGTTTTGATAAGACAGCAAAGAAGACAAACAGAAACTCTCAACGATATTGTGTGAGACAACGAATACACATCTCAATAATCTCTTTATAGTTAAAACAATAAGATGATACATAAATCTAATATTGCTCCTGCATAATTCAATTTTCTCGGTTCATCTGCAGAGTAATTACAAACCCTGGGAACTAATATATTCTACTGTCTGATCTCTTGAGTCTGATATTGACCAGCAGAACAGATTCTGTTTTAACACGCTGTACAGGTATCAAAAATCTTTAAACAGATGAAACCTTTAAACCTGCCTGAGAAGTAGTCTGTGCGTGGAATGAGTGTATGAGAAACACACAGAGAGAGAAAGTCCTGACCTTAATCTGTGCCTGTAGGTCAGGCCTTAATATCTCAGATTTTACACGCCAATTTTAATCATACTTCCCCAGCAAGGGCTCAGGTGCTCATTGGGGATTAGGTCGTTTGGTTAATGATAAATATCCTTCACATAGCAGGTTAGCAGAATGATTGAAAGAGATGACACCGATGCTCAAGATAAACCATCACTTTCACGCACTTTTCATCACAGACTAGGTCGACTGCCAAAGACTTCCACAACAGACGGATAAGAATGTTTGAGAGTAAAGCCAGGGAAGCCAATGGACATAAAGATAACCCTTCGTTTTTTAGGTTTAGACGTAAAAAATACTGGTTTAGGAACTGATCATGGTTGAGGAATTAAACCAAACACAGGTAGTAACCCTGATTTGGTTAAAACGTAAATTTCATTTTCTACATGACAGTTTCTTGTCAGTTGGTTTTTGGATGTTGCATTTGATTTGGACTTTTGCATTTGCTTGTTAATTTTCATTGTTTCTGAATGCTTCACTTTTTTCTTGAAGTAAGTCATTGCCAAGCCTTCCCCTAACCAAGAGGTTGGGCCTTTCTCAAACCCTCCAAACCACACTTTCACACTCACGTCTGCCACAATGAATGCGGTCCAAAACCTCTGAGTGTGCAGACACAGTGGGCTGTTAAGCCC